GTCGCTTGTAACTGCATGAACCGGCCATCAGTCAGCTTCCTTTGTTCTGGCAGTATTGGAATTGCCCGAGTGATGACTCGCGTCCGGGTCATCCCAACAGGCTTGATGAAGTTTAGGGGCTAGGTTTAAAGCTGAGGTTAGTTTCGGGATTGTACTAAGGTTCTAAGTTTAGGTTCGTGTTAACTACAAAATGTAGGTTTGGGGTAGGCCTAGAGTCCGAGAAAGGTTGCAGTTTAGCTATGGGTTAGTGTTGGTTTTAAACCAAGAGCATATTTACGCAAGTGTACAGGACGTTCCTATTCCTTTGTTTGTTTTACGCGACCACACACGTTATCTTTCCCAAAGTTACTATCAGTCAGGTCAGCGGCTCAATTACCTGACTTCCCTTCCTCGAATTCTTTTTTGAGTCGCCAAGGCACACGGGGAGTTGTAATATTCAGACGGCCTGAAGTGTCATAAAAATTCCACAATTCATGCCCATAAACCGCCATTGTAACAAACTTTCACAAATTTCCTTTGCTTTATTTACAATTTCACTAAAAGCTGCAGTTTACATACCCAGATCGTGCTCTTCTCTTCAAACCTGTACAACCTCTTTTACATAAAAGTGAATGCCAGCCAAATACCCCCCAGGATAATGTGGCGCAAATGCTTGAAGAAAGTCACATCTAACCAGAATTTAATAGGTCAAAAATTAGGCTTGGCCATCCATTGGGGCGGGGTAAGGTACAAGTAGGTCAAGAAAACGTGCGGGTATCTACTGCTTTAACCGAAATGAAAGACGAGCCAAACTCAATGATTCAACGCAGATAAGCGGGAGGAGGGTGGATGACAGTGCCCAAAACGCCAACCATCAAAAAGGTGGGGCCTTGTGCGCAAGGAAGACAGATGGTTGGGTGCTTAAAACCCGAGGCATGATGTGGATTGGACTTCGCTACAACCTTCATCAGCTGTCCTCAAAGGCGTTTGCGGACGAGGACGATGCACTAGCCAAAGAGAAAGATACCGGTTTTATAACTTGGTTATTAGATGCAGAGGCAACCTCCACACTTGAGCGCACGGATGCTACCCGGTTTGAGACACCAGATTCCACTCCGGTGATCTTGACAGAACCGGTAAATTGTTTTTGCACCTGGCTGGACAGCTTCACGTGGTGCTGCCGAGAACCGCCAGGGTAGCACGCAGTGGCAAGCGTCGTCATCGCGAGAAGGTGGCGATGCGGCTCAGGGTCGAAGGCGACCGTCTCCACGCCGTAGAATTCAGCCAACTCTTTGATGAAACGACGCTTGTATTTGTTCATTGGCGGAAACCGGTGACTTGGGCACTTTGTAGTGGGAGTTTCGCCCTCTTTGAGAGGAACTAGCGCCTACAAGAGGGCAGAAAGAGTAGAGTCTTAGAAAGGTGTTACATTACAAAGTAACGAAATGAGCCGAACGAAAAAAAAACGGCGGCACCTCAAATGGGAGGCCCAAAAACCAAAGCACCGGCGTAAGCAAAGCGGAGAAGGGAGCTGAGGGTAGGAACAGTTAGTAGTGACACGCTATTGTAGTTGCGTAAAGGCATCCCGATGGGTATCACAACGATCACTCTAAATGTCGATAAAGAACCATAACTAAACTCCCTATAGAGGAAGAGTAA